AGAGAGAGAGAGAGAGAGAGAGAGAGAGAGAGAGAGAGAGAGAGAGAGAGAGAGAGAGAGACGTCCTAAGCAAACATCAACGCCTTCATTGCTGTGTGAATATGGCAGACCAAGGTACGATCTCTCCTGCTCCTGTTCCCGCTGCCTCCCCCTCCTCTACCGCTCCCCCGCTTTCTCCACTTCCTTGTCTTCTTCTCCTCCTCGTCCTCTTGCTCCCACTCCGCTCCTTCCGCTCCCACTGATCATGATAGCGATGACGATGATGATGAGGGGAGGGAGGGAGGGAGGGAGGGAGGGAGGGAGGGAGGGAGGCGGAGGAATTGAGGGAGGCGATGATGATGATGATAATGAAGCTAGATGGGGGCGGGGGCATGCATGATAAACAGTGCCCCGAGTATGATGGAGGGGTTGAAAATTATCATGATTGCCACACGACCCATCTTCAACCTACCAGAACAGTTATGACAATGGATAATCAGGCCGCAGGGGAGGAAGATCGGGATGACGAAGCGAAGGAGGCGGAGGTCATGATTGGGGAGACGCAACCACGTGATTGAGTGACTGAATGGTTGGCGGACAGACAAGACAGATAGTGCGGGCACGTGCACAAAAGAGAGAGAGAGAGAGAGAGAGAGAGAGAGAGAGAGAGAGAGAGAGAGAGAGAGAGAGAGAGAGAGAGTCCTCCCAGCCATCTCGGTATACCTCCCTACCATATATTCCGACTGAGGATTGGCCCCTTCTACCTCACCCCTTCAACCCCCACATTCCTGTCCTCCCCTTCTACCCTCCTCTCCTCTTCAACAAACACATTCCTTCCGTGAACTTTCAACAACTTATGAAAGAACAAAAATAAATAAATGAATAAATTCCCTTTTCCTGATGGCATGACAATCATGCATGTTGGTAACAATGATGGATGGTGATGGTAATGCAAGATTGGTTACACAGAGAGAGAGAGAGAGAGAGAGAGAGAGAGAGAGAGAGAGAGAGAGAGAGAGAGAGAGAGGGCATCGGATGTGATGACGTCAGCGAAGGACGGCACATATCATGCAAAGCAGGAGGTGTGTGTTTGTGTGTGTATGTGTGTAAAAATCAGATCTCACGGCAAAGCAGAAGTTGTGTGTTTGTGTGTGTGTGTGTGTGTGTGTGTGTGTGTAAAAATCAGATCTCATGGTATGCACCCCACCACCACAGTGGTACATCAGGCCCTGGTCATGTCCAAACTAACACTGTCTGCTGCCACTTTGCTTCTCTGAAGCTACCCATACATCCGTGGCTTATCATGACCAGCTTTCTTAGAGTCCCACATAGGATGGAGGGCATGGGGGAGGCGGGAGGGCAGACTACACACAGGCACCCCCCCCCCCCCCCCCGAAAAAAAAAAAAAAACACAACTCCCAAAGCTGCGAAGACCGGGAGGTGAACAATAGGCGGCAGGAGGGCAGACGACATGCACACACACCGAGCAGGCAAACCAAAAAATACAAGTCCCACAAAATCGAACGACTGGAAAAATAAAAAACTGATGATGATAGATTGTTTCGTCGGAGTTGCACCGACTCATCAGGAGGCTGAACCCTCGACAATCTGCGGAATCTTTGTATTTGATGGTTTGGGTCATGAACCCTTTGACCCTTGTTGAAGGCAGACTGTCCCCAAGCGGAAAATAGAAATAGGCAGCAACCCTGTGGAGCACCAGGCAGCACAGTAGAGGCAACACGGCAGGACATGCAGCGCAGCAACCATGTAGTGAAGCACAAGGCAACACAAGCAAGGTAAACCACACTGCAAGGGACGACAGGGCGAGCGGACCAGCAGCTTGGCAAACGTGGAGCGAAGCACAAGAGGCACCAGCAACAAGGCAACCATCCATCAAGGCCTGCAAGCAGCAAACACGGAAGGCACGGCCAGCGGAAGGGCAGCAAGGCAGCGGAGCAGCGAAGCGCAAGGCAACACCAACAACACGGCCACACCACACAGCAAACAGATCAACCTGC